AGGGTTTTAGTGAACTATCTACCATACAGGAAACAATTTATAAAGTATGTGGTTAGGTTTGTGAAAGCTATTTGGCTTTGTGAAATGTAGATCACAATAAAATAGTGTTCCTATGTCTTGGGTTAGTTGAACTATTGAATAAAGATCTTCTTTCACTTGCCATTTTGCTTATTCTTTCTCCTGGTATTAGCAGCCTGAGAGACACTGTTGTGTCTAATGCTGGTCTGTTTTTTCTCTTGTAGAGATGATGGTAGTATTTTTGATGGGCTGGTGGAGGAAGATGACAAGGATAAAGCTAAAAGGTAGCCTTTTTAAGTTACCTAATGCTAGAATGTCCTTCATTTGACTGCTTTGGTAAATTCAAATATATTAACAGAATAAAAATATGACTGTATTTGACCATACAATTCAACAGGATTTCCCTATGTCAAGTCATGTAATATTTTTCTACATATGGGTTATTTACTTTGAGGTGTGGCTAAAGAAGTCTTTGTGCCTCAAGTTCATATATGACTTCCTTCCCTGTGACAATGAATGTCCCTCATCCCTTCCAGACACAGCCTTTACTGTCATGACTCCAAAGGAATGTCTGTACTGCATCTAGGAGAATGTTTTCCAGTCTGGGTCCACAGACTCCCCACTCTCACTTCAGGCTTGAGAGCCTGAGCTCCAATCCAAGTTGCATGACTTCTGAATAGTAGTACACTATAGAATAGAACCTCTTCCCAGGTTACTAGCTCAAGCCACTAATCAAGTTTGGGCTGTCGTATTTATTTTGTGGTGGTAAAAGAGTTTTGAGACTTCAGCTAGAACCTGAATAACCGCCACTCCTTCCTGCCTATAGCTGATTCAGAATGGTGCCTCAGACCCCACAGGATTTCTGTTCTGGTATATGTTCCCCAGAAGGATGTGCATCCCTCACCCCGGCTGCACCAATAGGCTCAAAGGCATACATGGCAAATGTCCCATCCCAGTGGTCCATGGCCGTTACTGAAATAGGTCCTTGCTGATTTGAACAGTAAGGAAGTTCTCTGTCACCACAGTCAAGTGCCTACATTAGATTGGTTCCCCCTTCTTTTTATGCTGGCTCACTGCAAGAAAAAGAAAGAAGTGTATGTTTCTGGAAGTGAGTTAGTTTCTGAAATCTCTATTGAACATCCTTGTTCACAACAGTGAATTAGTGATCACCAGTGTTCCCTCTAATTTTTCACGCCCCAAAGTGGAATGAATTTTGATATGTGCACCAACATGGAGTTGATACGTGACATGTTATCTCTGCACTGGTGCACATAACAAAATTCATGTGGCAAGGGTGGAGCCAAGGGTTTCTGAATGTGGAAGGGAGCTCAGGCCTGGGGCAAAGCAATAGGATGCAGGAGTGTGAGGGCTCTGGCTGTGTAGTGGGATCAGGGATGAAGGGCTCAAGGCTGAGATAGAAGGTTGAGATGCCAGGGCTCTTGCTAGGGCTACAGGCTCTGGGGTGGGGCTGAGACAGAGGAGAGGGTGCAGTACAGAGGTGTAAAGGTGGGGGGCTCTAGGACTGGGCCTTGACTCTGGGGCCAGGCCACTTCCACTGTGACAGGGGAAGGTCTAAAAGCTGAGCCGCTATGATGGCAGAGTAGGGGATCCAGGGCCAGGCCACTGTGGAGATGAAAAGCATGGGGGTGGGGGCATTATGGCAGTGGGGGACACCAGGAGATTGCATTACGACTGAGGGAGAGGTGTTTGATTCAGGCTGTCCCTCCCCCAGCCTGGAGGCTAGGTTGTGGATGGGGTAGTCCTCTTCCCCATCTTGTGTAGGTGCCATGAGCACCTGAGCAGTGCTAATTATATTACCACATAACCACACAGCTTATCGGGAACTTAGGTAGTCACCCAGGTAAGAGGAAAGCATAGTAGCCTAATTTTAAAATAACAGCTGAGGAATTTTTGTCTACATCCCTAAGTCCTCTATATACTTAGCATTTGTATAATGGCCACAAATGAATGGTTGCATGTTTGGCTATTAGATGAACATTGAATTGATGGCTACATTTGCTACCATTGTCAAATTTTATCCCATCTTGGTATGACTCTGTAAGTTCATTTTTATATTCACAAAATTTACGCTATAACTGATATTCACCTCTGTAAGAGTTGACTCCTCTAAATCTCATTCAAACTTGAAAATTGGATTAAAGCCTGTCATCTGTGAAATATTATTAACACAGTTTACTTCTGTTTTTTAAAGTGGTTTCTATTTTGTATTTTTCAGGGTGTCTAGAAACAAGTCTGAAAAGAAACGTAGAGATCAGTTTAATGTTCTCATCAAAGAGCTTGGTTCCATGCTTCCGGGTAATACTCGGAAGATGGATAAATCCACTGTATTGCAGAAAAGCATTGACTTTTTACGGAAGCACAAAGGTAATTCTGTGATATAACAAGACAGCTCACTGGGTTTTGAATCAGACATTTAATTCTTGGTAACCTGCAAAACCAGACCAGAATTGTACCAGCTGAAATATTTCCACTTATAGACATCATACATGGAACATATTGTTTAGTCATACACAGTAAGTAATCAAGCCAAGAAAATGTACTGTGACTACATTAGCACTGTATAATGTGCACAAAATCTTAAATTAGTTTCAGTTTTTGTATTGTTAATTTTCCAAAATTTAAAAATTTGTGAAGAGTCTCCACTTAATTCTATGCATATATTTGAAATGGCACCAAAAACATCTCCCAACAACCATCATCCAAATCCGCAGTTTACAGCAGTGAGTCTGTTTGGGCCCCAATGTCTACACTACTATTTTTAGCTCCACAGAATGAGCCATAATCAGTTGACCCAGCCTTGAGACTTGCTGCCCTGGTGTTTTGTTTTTGCTGTGTAGACGTTCCGTGTGCCTTTTTGTATCTTGTTAGTTCATTTGAAAGTATGATTTGTTTTTTATCCCTTTCATATGTAATAATTCTAAAACTATTTCATATACAGAATTCTGAAGGAAACTGAGGATTTTAATTTTTCACATAGTTTTAGCTTTTTTGTTGAATTTTTGTTGCACCCATGCACTTTTCATCCTGCATAGTCAATGGCCAAATTGTATCCAGATCTTGTGGAGCTTTGTCTGCAGGAATATTCTTCAGAAGTGCTGGTAAAAGAGTGTGTGTGGAAAGTGGGGAGGATTGTTGTTTTGCTGTTACTTTATTAGTCCTGCAGCATTTGCTATTAGATGTTAGAAGGCCTTTTTGGAGCAAAATATCACTGCTGAGCATGCTGACTATAAGCCTCTTTTTTTACATAGGAGCTCTATATTGACGTATATTTTGAAGTTCCTCTGAAGCTGTCCACATGAAACAAACTGATTACTGCTGTTCCTTTAGTTTTGACTTTGTTTTCCAGTGTCACATTGTGTACACTTTGAGTGATTGGAAAACTGGGGACCATTTCAGTATGTGTTCATTTTGAATGAGTATGGGGTCTTTTTGTGTTGCAAGGATTTGAACTGCAGAATATGCATTCCCCTTATCCTGTTTGTAAAGCCATTTTACTATAGGAAACAAATTGACTTCATTATTTTATAATAAAAGCTTACACATCCTAAAGATCCTAAAATGCATTAAGAGAAAATGCACAAAATAACCTTATATAGATAAAACCATTCTTTATAACCAATCACAGAAAAATAATTGTATCTACCACTGGCATAGAAAAACAATAGCTTTTTTCCAGAGCACATCACCGATAATGCTCGAGTTTGGTATAAAATTGAAGGTTACTATATGCATCTGAAACACGGAATTTTAATATGCAGAATAGGATTACCAGAATTGACCAGGATACAAGAGTTATAATAGTTTGTTTTGAAACGTTAAACGGGATTATGAAGGACCAACCTTTATCAAACCTTTGGTTTACACTTCTCTTGAAAAAAGCTGGAACCTCCAGTAGTACAATGCTCCCAACATGCTGCGGCATTACTTCCATAAGGTCTTAGAGGGAATAGTGCTATCAGTGATATGACCAAATTCATCTCTGGAGCATACAGGTTTTCCTTGGAAAGCACTTGTCCAAATTCTCATTCATCTTAATCTGTGTTAATTTGAGATTTGACAGAATCACAGTATATGGTGGTTTGACCACAGCGGTGTGTTTAAAAAAAAAAAAAAAATCTGTTAACAATGTCTACCTATTTTCTAAGACCTTAGTTTGTCTTGCTGTGGGATAATTTTTTTCCATTCTTAAATCAGCCTTCCATGAACAAACTTTCTTTTGTGATTAGTGGACTGCAGAAGAGAATGGAAAAAACTGATTTTTTCCCTTCTTCAGATTACCTCAGATTAAAGAGTTTCCCCTCAATTCATATAATTTTGTGGTGTAAAATAATTTTTTTTGAGAATGAATCATAAATGAAAATTCATATATATGTTTCTAATTACAGAAATCACTGCACAGTCAGATGCCAGTGAAATTCGACAGGACTGGAAACCTACATTCCTTAGTAATGAAGAGTTCACACAGTTAATGTTGGAGGTACATGATTATTTTATTCTCTTTTTGGAAAGAGAGAATTCTTAGCAAACCACCACTGTGTGGTGATAGAATCTTTTGGCTTAATGGTATTTCTTTTCAAATCCATATTTTATTTGCAACACTATCTACTTAGGTATCTACAAATAATCTTTAAAATGTAATTATAACTAAATTGATTATACTATAAATACAAAAGTGTGCTATTAAGTTTAAGAAAACTACTTTAAAAAGGAATAAAATATTTTAATCACTATAATTCGAAATAATTTTTAAAAAAGATGTAACTGTGCATCTAGGCAAAGTCAACTGGTGCCTTCATGGCAGTGTTTTTTAAGCTTAAACTAATTGCTAGTTACCAAAGCTGTTAAAAATACTATCTTCTTGATTGACTGTATGGCTATGACTTGTGAAAAGAGTATGCATAATAAAAATGTACTTTGTGTATCTGCATATTACCCACTAAAACTATATTAAAATGCAGATTATTAAGGTTACAAAGTCAAGTGCTCAGCAGTTAGGAAATTCATTAATATTGCTTGTGCAACTTTAATTCAAAGTGCATATTCATTTTAATCTGGTCCTTAATTACATCATTAGATATTACTTAGTGCATAGAATGGGCAGTGCTCACTTTTATGTGCAGATATTCAATATTTTGTTTTATTTTCCCCTCATTGTTCAATATATAGGCTTGGACCTTGTTTCTGCACACTAGTCAAACTCTGCTCAGAAGACTAAATTATTAATGTCCTTATAGGCTTTTCTGTGGTGCTTACCTGTATAGTATCAGAGCGCTTCAGAGCATCAGGTTTGACAAGACTCATGCAAAATATCACCTTATATATTCTTATATAAATTATTTTCTCTTACATAGTTCTTTTCGTCAGTAAAGCTCAAAGTACATACAAAAGAGGTAAATGTAATTGCATCTATTTTTACAGATGGAGATACTGAAATACAAAGTGAGGAAGTAACTGACACAAGGTCACCAAGCTGGAGAGTGACAAAGCTGGGAATAGAACCTAGTTCTCCTGAGTCACAGTCCAGTGCTCTATTCACTAGGCCATACTTCTTCCTCTTCAGAAAAGTTTTGTCAGACTTGGAGCTTTTTAATAGATGAGCTATAGCAAGCACTTATGGAGCTAAAATATTTTGTACAGAAATTCAGAGAGCTGGGAGAGAGCCAGCAGAAAGCAAGGGAAGCACTTGAGAGCTTGACCCTGAGAGGGAGCAGACTCACAAAGCTCCTTGGACCACAGAGCTAGCGACAGGGACAGACTAGGAAACTATAAGCAGGGAAATTTCTGTTTTTCAATGGTGTTCAAGGGAAACAGAATTTCCCTGCAATTTTGTATTTACACAAAGACATTTCTGATTTAAATCCTCAATTTCCCCTCATAGGGGGAACACATATGTGAAGCCCGACCCCTTAGGCCAAGAGGGGCAATACTGGCAAGAAAAGTATAAACTAATCCTAGGTTTACAATTTGAAGCATTAAAGGCCTGATTTTTCAGAATGCTGATCATAGGACACCACTTCATACATTCAAAGCACAACTTCCATGGACTTCTGTTGAGATTGAGAGTGCTCAATGTGTCTGCAGATCAGCCTCAGGATCTCAAGTTGAGTGCCCAGAAACCTGTGAAAAATCTGGTTTAAGCAACATTTAGGAACTCTGTGGAAGAGGCAAGGATAGAGTCCAGTTGTAGATCATCTTTTGTTCAGCCCTATTGAAAGAAGTTAGGAGGTACTGTATGTGGCTTAATTAGGCCACAACTTTTACTTAAAATATTTGGGATTATCTGGCAATAAATTGTACAGTATAGTTCATCATCATTTCCTTAATCATTAGGGGGGGGGGGGGGAAATCTCACCACCTCTTTCTTTCCAACCTGCTCCCTGACCCCCACAATCCTCCCTTTTGTGAAACGAGGTTTATAGGAGCCGTCAACAAAGGCTTCCCTTGTCGACCAATTCGCATCTTGACTCACGTGCTGTGCCAATGATCAGCTGAGCCGGCACAGCATGGCGGCCATTATTATTTTAATGAAGCCGGGGATATTTAAATCCCGGCTTCATTGACTATGTCGGGTAGCCTATTTTACGTGCCTCTGTCGGCAGAGGCATGTAATCTAGACATACCCTAAGACTCCATCAAATTGCTGCTGGAAGCTTGAAGGAGTCTTTTGTGGTGTCCTGTTAGGATTTCCTGGATTAAGGAGCACATCTGAACTGACTGTCTCTTTGTGCAGCAAAGAGAAGTATTAGGTGCCTCTGAATCCCAGTAGAGCACTTGCTCCCCAGCATCATTGAACCCTGCTCAGTCTTATTTCCCTTTCATCTTTCCTTTGCAACATCCAGCAATCCTGTTCAGGTTCAGAGAATGGCTCCCCTGTTGTGCCCAGCTCAGTAGGTGGACCTCACCTCTGAAACCCACTGGGTGGAGCTTATGGGGGCAGCTTGGGGCAATGTGAGGGAGCCAGGAAGAGGGGGGCCTACTCAGGGGGAGATAGTCCCTTCCCCTGTTGTCCTGGCCCCACTTGCTTCAACTCCTGTGCTATTGACCTTGCCAACTGAGCTCAGTAACACCATCATTGAGGCTTGGGTGCTGATAAAGGGGACAGTAAGTTCAGCATATGCAAGTCATGGTCCAGGATCTCCCTTTTGACTCAGGGAAGGGGAAAAGGGTTCTAGTATATCAGCTAGTGGTATTAAATTTGCTTCTTCATCACTCTGCATTTCTGTTCTCCTTAAATGGTATTGTACCATGCAAGTTTAAGGATTTCCATTGAAGTCAGTGTGACTACTACTATTATTTTAGGTAGTCAGATACCACTCAAAATAATGAGGATGGCAGAATTATGCTCTTCATTCGAAATGCTAAAGTTTACACAATTTTAAAACACTACTTAATGCAGCCACAGGTAAATTTTATTAAAACCCATGACCTCCCATTTTTTAATTTTTATCTGAGCTGGAGATTGTTTTCTACTGTTTCTTTAGGAAGGAATTAGAACATTAAAGATTTTAATAAATGAAATCTGTCATTTTCTCCTTCTCTTTCTACCCTTAATCCTTTTTTCTCTTCCCTCTCTCCAATTTACTGTGCCTGTTATTATTTTCTCCTTTTTCAGTCTCCATTTTCTCTTTTAGCACTACCTTACTTTCTTGTCATTCCATGTTCCTTTTTAAAGACTAGAATTCTAATAGATTCAGGGTGGGAGAAGAGGGAAGCAAACCTACCAATACTTTGATCTGTCGCCTAACAGAAGTATTGTAAATTATAGATGGCTTTTTGAGAACAGAACAATGTAAAAAATTATAATGGTAAAGCTGATATAGTACAAATGGTATTCAAAGGTGTTAGTGATAATACATGCTCTCATTTTGTTTTAAAGTAAAATTAGGACAATCTAGCTGTCATTTTTACGTTAAATATAGATTTTTGATTTGTCATGCGCATTATACTGTTCCTTTTTATTTATGCCCATTATGTTTAATTTCAGGCTCTTGATGGCTTTTTTTTAGCAATCATGACAGATGGAAGTATAATATATGTGTCTGAAAGTGTAACTCCCTTACTTGAACATTTGCCAGTAAGTATGAACTACTTCCAGTAAGATATCAGAATTAGTCTATAGCTAGGTTTTGCTACCTCTCAAAACACTTGTTGCACAGACAATGTATATTCTATCCTGAAACCTCTGTTTTTCCTCAAAAACACCTCCCTCCATGTTTACTTAATCTCCTTAGTTGGAAAGGTGGAATACACATTCTCCTCAGAGGCCACTGTACTGTTACTCTATTACTCCTCAGCTGACACTGCTAAAGAGAAGCATGTTTGATACTCTTGAAATTACTGTCCATTAATCTTTAGTCACCCTGGGCACTTCCTAACCTTGGGATTCACTAGGAACAAATGTGTTGTTACTTCTTGACTGGGCTAACTCTGATATGTCAAATTTGTACTGCATCTCATTCATCTTTATTTGGACTGCTAGTCTGATTGATGTATTTACTCTCTAGTCCATTCTAGTGTAGGCATCACTTGGGAGTGTGACTCTTCCGAAACCAAAGTGAATAGTATTTTAAAGCAAGAACAGTGTTTACCTAACATTTTTTTATCAATGATAAACTTGAAGAGGAAAAGCGGCGAGGAGTCCTGTGGCACCTTATAGACTAACCGAAGTGTTGGAGCATAAGTTTTTGTGGGCAAAGACCCACTTCCTAACTATCAGTGCATCTGATGAAGTGGGTCTTTGCCCACGAAAGCTTATGCTCCAACACTTCGGTTAGTCTATAAGGTGCCACAGGACTCCTCGCCACTTTTGCAGATTCAGACTAACATGGCTACCCCTCTGAAGAGGAAAGTATCTGTCACAGACTGAATCTGATTAATAAATGCCTATAAAATAGACATTGACTAGAACTTTATTACCAATAGTTCTGCAAGGCAGAAATTTAACCTTAAGTGTGAATAGTACTAGAATGAAAACTTGTCTTAAAATAAAAAAAAATAAATGATTCAGTTTTGCAGATAAACAAAATTAACATTAGCTCGAGTCCAAAATACTGATTTCAAAGGGACAACTTTTAAGTTTAGTTTTTTCTTTAGTAAATTTTCTGTAGATGGTTTCTTTGGAGATTTGGTTCATGTTTTTGTGTATATAAATGGTATCAATAATACTTTGTTGTTATCTAAGAAGAGCTCTGTGAAACTTGAAAGCTTTTACCTTCCATCAACAAAAGTTGGTCCAATAAAAGATACCTCACCTACCATGTCTCACCTATATTTTTGTTTTTCAAGATGAAGATTTTAGATCTTCAGTGCCACCAAGAGGCAAAAATGTGTACTGATATTTTAAATCATTAGTACACAATTTGACAATTGATTTGAAGTATTTGCATCTCTATTTGACATTGTCAGATCCCAGGAAAGACCGTAGGTCCCAGCATGCTTTTACATTTGTGTCTGTTGTGTTTACAGCAATGTTTATGTCCTTGTTAAAGTAATGTCCCTGTTGATGCTTTACTTCAGGTACATCTGCACCCTTGATTGGAGATTTTTTTCACCCATGCCTTTGCATGAGTCCCACACATCCTTTTGTCCCATGCCAAGGCTATATGGCACTATGTGGTCCCTTCCAAACTGCCTTCAGCCAGAGATGGACTCTAATTTGTGCTTGATTACCCTAGTATTCTATAATTATCATATAGGGTTTATAGTTGTTAGAACATCTGATCCTTTTATTTTCATTTCCTTCAAGTAAATCATTTAAATAGCATTTTATTACTATGTAGTTAGCAGTTAATAACTTCCTCTTCTAGTGGTCACTTTTTGTTATATTATTCATGAATGCTAGGCTCTCTTTGGTTCAAATGGTGCTTCTGTTATTGGGCGGTGATCCCCAGTTCCCAGGAGATGCATTTCTTATCCCAAAAACAGAGGCTTCTTTGTACACATTCAGCGACAACTTTATTGTTCAGGTTTCTCAACAAGATCAGTCCAGAGTTGTACTGATTGCACCTAAGTGGCCAAGATAAAATTTGGTATCCCTATCTAATCACACTCACATTTATGCTTTCTGTGGTGACTTCCACAGAACTGGGGAGGGAAGGACTCTGTCAGCAGGCCACATGCCCTCCAGAGCCATGGACTGAAATGGAGGTGGAAATGATAACTATGGGTGATCTTCTCAACAATCAGTAACGTATATTCAAGTCCTATAGTTGCTGAATTTTTCTAGATGGTGCTTGCTTCTGCCATGAGGGCAGGGAACTGAAATTAATGATCTCTCGAGGTCCCGTCCAGTTCTAGCATTCTATGATTTAGTCAAACACTTCACCCCAGCCTGCAGATTCTGAGGTTCCAAGCATGGCTCCTTGATGGCTCTCAAGAAGAGTGCTATCACTTTTGCACAAAGGGTTTGAGAAATGGGGGTTTTTAATGGCAGATTCCCCCATTTATGGTGTTCACCAGAGACAGTGTCACTGTAGGCCCATCCAAGATTTTTACCTATGGTGTCCTCACAGTTTCATATTAATTAAACCATTCATCTGTCATTCTCCCCTCCCCCAAAACAACATTGGACTAGTCAAAAAGCTATATTCCATACCTTAGATGTCAGGAGGGCATTACTTTGTCTAGAGAGCCAATCAAAACATTTAGAAGATCTCTTAGAGTGTGTATTCACTGCAAACAGAAACAAGGGTTTGGTCATCTCAAAACAGAGGTTATCAATATGGCTCTCTGGATGTATTATAATCTGTTACGACAAACTCACATTGATAGCATATTCCACAAGAGCACCATCTACATATGTAGTCTTATTTAAATATGTACCAGTTGCAGACATCTGCAGTATGGGAACTCGGTCCTCTGTTTATGGTTTCTAATCATCATGCCGCTGGAGGCAATGCAGTTTTCTTCTGTTCCAATCTCCTGCCTCCTTAACGGGCTTATTGCTTGGAAGTCACCTGAAGTAGAACACCCATAGGAACACTACTTGGAGGAGAGGTTCAGTAACTGGAGTTCTTAAAGATATGTCTCTCTGTGGGTGTTCCACTATCGAACTTCCTTCCACTCTGCTTCAGTGGGACTTTGGTGGTAGTGAAGGAGCCACATAACCCCATATACTCTTAGTACAGAGCATGTACATGTGCAGCACATGTATGGGCTGAATGGGCAATGCTACTAAAAAAACTTTTTCAGGGTTCAGGCAAACCTAAACATGGAACACCCACAGGGAGACACATTCGAAAGTGCTCCAGTTACTGCACAAGTGAGCAAACTCTCCAATAGTGTCACAAATCAGTGCAATCAAGAGCTGTTCACGTCTTGCAAAATCAAGAAGGATGGCACTTTAAACACTCGGGGTACGTCTACACTCCGCCATGTCCAGGGAACACGTTTGCTCTTCCACTTTTTTTTTGTGGAAGAGCAAACGCGCTCTTTTGGGGAGCCCTGTATACCTCGTTCTACGAGGAATAAGGGCTCTTCTGAAAGAGGAGTCTTTTCCGCCTAGACTGGGTCAAATGGTGGAAAAGCCTCTTCCAGAAAAACAGTTGGAAAAAGCTATAGTGTAGACCTAGCTTAACAGATTTATTCGGGCATAAGCTTTCGTGAGATTCAACTCACTTCCTTGTATTTCACGAAAGCTTGTGCCTTTATAGATCTGTTAGTCTTTAAAGCGCCACCGGACTTGTTGTTTTTGCTGAAACAGACTAACACAGCTACCCCTCTGAAACCTGTCTTCTTGCAAAATGATATTTTGTGACTCCGAAAATGGTTTTGCTAAATCTCTATTTTTGTATGGTTGTTTCCTCATTCTAGACCTCTTTAATTGCTTTATGTTAAAATAATGGGCTTTGAAAAGATGTCATGTCTTGTCTTAAAATATTTCTGATTTTTTTTCTTTTGCAGTCTGATCTTGTGGATCAGAGTATATTTAATTTTATCCCAGAGGGGGAACATTCAGAGGTTTATAAAATACTGTCTACTCATCTTCTGGAAAGTGATTCATTGACCCAAGAATATTTAAAATGTAAGTTTATTGCTAAAAAATATATAAAATAGTTAACTCTTATCATAGTCTTTTATATGGGCAACCCAGTTTCAGAAGAAATAAATGCATATGGAATTTCAGGGTGAAACTTGTATGTCTTAAAGGAAAAGGAAAACTCGTGTTCTTTTTATTCTCTGAAGTGAATCAATACTTTATTTTAAAAATTTCCAGTGACCGGAATAACACTGCAAATCATAAATAGTTTCCCTTTGTTTTAGAAATGCTTGTTTATAACTTATTGTCAATAATCATAGCAGCCAGAGAAGATAAAGACCTTATTACCATTGGAGTTGTACTTGCAGGCACTTCCCATTAGGCAGCTGTTCATGGAAACTTCCCTCGTAAGAGTTCTACTCTTCTGTGGATTCTGTAAAGCTGTAATATGGCGACTGAGTGCTGTTGAGCCCTCCCAAACACATATCCCGTGATTTTCGCTCCACTATTTGCATTAATTCCCCTTGTTGGAAAAAATAAAATGTCAAAGCCATTTTTTTTTCATTGCAATGTTTAGAGTAAATTCTTTATTCAATATTATGTTTGCAGTAATATTGCAGCCATGTTGGTCCCAGAATGAGACACACAAAGTAGGTCAAATATTATCTTTTATTGGACCAACTTTTGTCAATGGAAAGTTCTAGCTTTTGAGCCATATCAATCTTTTCTTCTGTCCTATCAAAGGAAATCCGAGTGCTTGAGCTAAATACAGTAGACTTCTGATAATCCGGCACCTTTGGGACCTAGGTGGTGCTGGATTATTAGATATGCCGGAGTTTCAGGATGTACTGCATACTCCCAACCCAATCCCTCTCCACCCTCCTCCCCC